AAAGTTTTTCAGAACCCCTTCCTCTGAAAGTTAAGATTCCACCATCCTGACAGGAATATGCCTGCTCTGACCCTCTGTCAAGAATAAATTGGCGTCGTATTCTTTTATCTGTAATTTTTTTTTTTTTGGTCTTTTTGAGACAGGGTCTCCCTGTAACCCCAGCTGTCCTGGAACTCACTCTGTAGACCAGGCTGGCCTTGAACTCACAGAGATCCGCCTACCTCTGCCTCCTGAGCGCTGGGATTAAGGCATGCGCCACCATGTCCGGCTCTGTAATTTTTATGAAATGAAGGATTTAAAGTAATTGGAGCCTAGTGCCCACTATTATATCCTTCTATTTCCCTACAGTCTTCGGTTAGGTGACAAAAATCCACTATCACAGAAACGCATTTTCCCTGTCAGTGATGTGTTTGCTGTAGGGTGAAGTCAAGTACGAAGGAAGTGAACTAATGCTATAGTCCATGCATTCTGAGCTGCAGATCTGGGAGCAAGCTAGGGTAAGAGGCTGCAGGCACACAGTGGGAATTTAAGCCAAGGGTGGGCAAGATGACTTGTCAAGTAAAGGTGCGTGCCTGACAACCCGAGCATTTCCAGAACCCACATGGTAGATGAAGAGAACCAGTTCCCATAAGTTGTCATCCTCTGACCTCCACATGTTATGCACCAAGGCATGCATGCCCTCCCCCAATGAATAAGTGTAAGAAAAATTTAATTATTTTTAATTATGTGTGTGTGTGTGTGTGTGTGTGTGTGTGTGTGCGCGCGCAAGAACGTGTGTCCAATGAAACCAGAGGCATTATGCCCCTGGAATTGGGATGGTAGGTAGTTGTGAGCTGCATGATGTGGGTGCTGAGAATCAAACTCAGGTCCTCTACAGGAGCAGTATGTGCTCTTAACCACTGAGCCATCTCTCCAGCCCCATAATTTTTTAAAAAAATAATAATAACTTAAACCTAGAGGCCAAACTAATGGGACTAGAGAGCAGTCCTTGAGCTAACGGCTCAGAACGGAGCATGTAAAGGCAAGATTTCCCATGAATTAGCCACACCAGTTGAAAACAATTAACTTTGCACTTTAGAAGGGCTTGGCCATGTGCCCCACTTCATGAAGATCTTATAAGGAAGTGATTGTAGAGCAATTTGAAAAGAGAAAATCTTTCTAATACTGTATTTTAGTTGCATTTCAAATAATCGTCTATATTGAGGCTCACAATGAGACATTACACAAGTGCTGGATGAGACACGTTCCCTGTCTAGCACAGGACTATCTGAGAAGAGAAAATTTAAAGGGTATGTAAATTTAGCTTCATATCCTGAGTGCCGTGGGAATAATTACACATAATTGGATTATTAGTAAGGAGTTGGGAGTGTGGGTAAATGTCTTTCTGTGGTTGGAATATTGGACAGAGGAGCATAACTCTAAAAACTAAACCAAGAACAGGACAGAAAGCACATGCTGCCAAGTCCGGAATGACATTTGAAAACAACAACAACCAGGGATTTGCCTTTCAAGAGATTTTATTTCCAAACGTATTTTACCCAGATTATCGGCAATTTGTGCTGAGAGTATACGTTTCTGTTCACTTGCTAATGGGCACTGTCAAGCAAACCAGTTCTTCTAGGTTGGTTTCAAAATTGCTTTGTTTCTGGTAATAAGTTTCTAGCTGTAGAAACGTGTGAAGTCCATAGATGCTATTCTCTGTACTCAAGTGACTCGCCAGGTGTCCAGTATATTAACAAAGACAGGTCCCAGTGGGCTGTAGAGTTGCCTAATGTATGTTGTTGGAATTAACAAGTGTCATCCCTAATCCACACATTTCATACTGGAAGAAGGTCAAGAAGTTATTGACTCTGGAAAAGTCTGAAGGCTCCTTTTCTTTCTGTGAAGGTCTTCCAACCAAGAATTCATATCTGAAGTCCTGAAGCTGTGTTTTTGGGCATTGTGTGACGTGCCTGGCCTTTGTTGGTGTCACACACCATATTCACATCGCTGTCTGCTGTCCTCAGATGTATGAAGTGATTATCACAAACTAAAATTCACATTCCATTGCGTTTCCAAAAAATAAAGAGGAAATTGGTGCGTTCATGCAAATCTGTTAATTAAAACATTTGTATTTGTCTCAGTAAATGAGCAGGAAAGAAATGAGCCTAAAGTCTGCCCTGTCACATAGCACAGGAAGTGTTATTTCTTTTCGAATAAAAGATTATGCTTCTACCAATCTTGTGGTCTTAGAAGTAAGATACATAGACTGAGACAAACCTGGATGGCTCATGCATGGACTGAACATGCCGCACACCGGGTAGAATGGTGAAGAATTGGGAATGATTCCAATGATGCACAGTAAGAAAACTATTGAATAAATTAGATTCTAACTTGATACAAAATTAGGCAACAGTAAAATTTACAGATTGGAATAATAATTACTTGGGAAAATGTTTTGGATAATGTTTAGTGAGAGAAAACAAACCAATATTCAATCTTGCAAGCAAGATTGTAACTATATAATCATTATGTTGTGATTTAAATAATAACACACACAAAATTATTGTAACAAAATAATGTTATCACAAATTTGTATTCAGTTATAATCCTTTTCCTAATTGTCTAAAATAATTATTTAGTTCTAAATATGAGAAATACTTGACAAAATATTAAAATGCAAAAGAAAGACATTAACGGATTGAAGAGACAGCTTTTAGAGTAAGAAAAAGTGTTTGCCAACTGTACATCAGTCAGGAGATTGATATCTAGAATATATAAAGAATTTAAAAAATTAAACACCAACCTCCTTCCACAAATCATCCAGTCAATAAATGGGCACATTAGCTGGACAGCTTTCAAAAGAAGTAAAAATATCCAATAAACATATGAAAAAATGTTCCACATCCTTAGTGATCAGGAAAATGCATGCTGGTGCTCAGCTTGATTTCTCCTTCTTACTCAACCTGGAACCCCAGCCCGTGGAACAGTGTCACCCACATTTAAGGTGGGTTTTCCTATCTCAATCCAATCTACAATCTAATGACTCCCTCACAGACAAGACTTTGTTAACACTTCTGTGATTTTCCTCAGCTGTAGAATTCAGTGGTGAGCTGTGTTTGCTGGGACGCTTAATTCACCCAATGAGGCCCAACCTGAGCTCTTCTGGAGGCTGTACAGGAGGTAGTAGTGGTTGACCGGTGATCCTGCGTGGCCCGTGGGGCAGAGAGAGGCATCATGGCTCTGGCTCCTTTCATACGCTGGCTTTGGTTTTCTGCTCACAGCTACTTTGTAAACTTCTAGATTCATCTGCTGAATCTAGATCAACTTTCTCCCTGCAGGAAGAGGAAAAAAGTGGATCTGAGCTTGGGAACTCTTGTGTCTTTAGCTTGTCCCCATTTCCTTGGAGTTACCATGAGTTTAGATCACTGTACTCACCCCTCATGCCTACTGTGTTTAGTAAGAGTACGGTTTTCATTTTTTAAAGTATTTTCTTGTTTCTGCATTACAAAGACGAACTAAATAAAAAAGAAACAGGTAATCATTTGCTGTTGTTCAGCCCAGGAAGTAGATGCTGTAACTTTTTTCATGGGATATTTTATAATTCTTTACTTCCTCCAGCCTAAATAACAGTCAACAAGAGCTCTATGAAGGCATTGGTTTAGTTTTTCTCTCTTTTTTTAAAATTTTTGTATGTGTGTGCAGTGTAGGGGTGTGTGGGGGGGGTGCCCATGTGTGCTCATTCAGAGGTCAGAGGAGGTCTTTGGATGTCCTGCTCTATCACTGTCTCTTGAGACAGGGTCTGTCACTGAACCTGGTGTGGCTGTGCCTGGCTTTTTACATGGGTTCTGGAATTCAAACTCAGTGCTCTTACATACTGAGCTGTCTCTCCAACCTTTAAATTCATTTTTAACTAGTACATGTAAACATAAAAATTGTGCATGCATAGGAGGAACATGATGTTTCAATACATGTATCCATTATGTAATGTTAAATCATTTAAACAGGGGCCAGCGAGATGGCTCAGCAGGTAAAGGCAGCTGCTGCGAAGCTTGACAACCTGAGTTTGATCCCAGGGACCCACATGGTGGAAGGAGAGAAGCATCCCCTGAAAGTAGTTCTCTAACCTCCCCAGGCCTGCCACAACATGTGTGTGCCCCCACACATACACATATAAATAAATAAATGAAAAAAATTAAATCAACTTAAACATGTCTATTTCTTCATTTAACATTTCTTTATGACAAAACCTTTTTCTCATTTTGAAGTGCATAGTGCTGTCTGTAGTCACTCTGTTATAGTCACTGTAACTTAGTACTTTCATAATGACTTCTCCCCACCCTTCCTTCCCCTCTTCTCCCCAGCCTTGGTAACACTATTGTATCTCAACTTCCATGTAATCAACTTTTAAACATCCACCCATGAGGAAGATGGTGCAGTGTTTGTCTTTCTGTGCCTGGCTTACTTAATTTAACACAATCATGCAGTTCCATCCATGGTGTTGTTAACGACAGGATCTCATCCTTTCATGGCTTTTATGTCCCACACTTTACCCATTCACTAAGACCCCTGTTCTTAGCGACTCTGAACAATGCCGCAGTGGCCATGGGAGAGCAGATGTCTCTTTGACACACTGATTTAATTTCACGGAAGTCCTTGTGCTGCATGATGAAGCTGAGGCAGGGTAGGGACCTCAATATTTTCTTGAGTGAACAAATGAGAAATAACATCTGTATGCTGTATTGGTTTTGCCATTCAAGGTTGTAAAGAGTTTCTCTAAGCTCATCTGATCCTCACGTGGGCATCTTCAAAGTGGATGAACCAATGTTTTATCCCTTTTTGTAGGTGAGGAAAATGGGTTAGAGGTAGAAAGCCCCCCGAGGCTTCACACAGTGACAGGCCAGCCAGCTGCCAGAAGTCCACCTCTCAGCTCGGAGCGGAGCAAGATGGGGTACAGCTGCTCGTCTGGGTGCTGGTCCTTGCTTTTCCTTTTTCATGAGAGTCTTGTTCTTTATTTTCAGATTACAGAACAGGCCCGTGTTTTACTGTGGTCAGCAACCAGATGTGCCAGGGACAGCTCAGTGGGATTGTCTGCACCAAAACGCTCTGCTGTGCCACAGTGGGCCGAGCCTGGGGCCACCCCTGTGAGATGTGTCCTGCCCAGCCTCACCCCTGCCGCCGTGGCTTCATTCCCAACATCCGCACCGGAGCGTGTCAAGGTAATGTGGCTGGGAATAAATGATGTGCCCTGTTTGCTCTGGAGAGCCATTCTCCAGCGGGTGAAAAAGACGCAATGCCCTGCTTGCCAGCCACGGCCGGGGCCTCCACAGCAGGGCTGTCCAGATCCGAGAAGGCCCGCTGGTCTGCTTTCCAGCCCCTCTGACCAAGGAGTGGTTCTACGTGCCTCTGGCTCAAGGGTGGGGACTCAGTTTGTGGTGATGCTGTTCGTGATGGCAGTGCCATGTAGGCGCACAAAGTTGGGTTGTGCTCAACTGACCTGAAGAAATAGTTGCTCTCCACGTTTGACGTGCTACATTATGCTTTAAAAAAAAGTCAGAAATAAATTAGAATTGGTTTCACTGTCTTAAACATCCCCAGATGTTGCCTGCACACTCTTCTGCCCTCCCCTAGAATCCCCGGCTCTGGTCTTGGCTGTTCCTCCGGTTCTTCCAGCTGTACAAATTCTTTAGTTGTCTGGATGTCTGGCAGGAAGCAGGGGGACGTGAACAGAGGCCACTCCACTCTAAACTGATGGGACTGAAAGACTCCCAGGCTATCTTTACTTCCCTCAGACATCTGCAGTGCTGTTTTTAGACAACTGCAATATTTTCAGAAAATATGCTTTTTTGAGGGAAATAGATAATAGTTTGTCACTGTTTTTTCTGTTAATTCTGAAGGTAATGTGTAGTAAGACAGAACGTGAGCTTGCTCACACAGTTCTATGGGCCTCCACTAAGTTGAACTTCTGCCTGGCTTCCATACACCCTCTTTGAATGTTCCTCTTGAATGTCAGAAGGGGCAAGAAATCACCTTGAAATCCTAAAATTATGAAGAATTGATGGCACAGTTTTATAAAAGTCACACTAAGTGCTTTCTTTAAAGTCTTATTTCTCATTCTTAGAAAGTCTCTCCGAGTTTTGAACAATTTGTTGATCACTGTGTTCTGAGTTGCTAATACCCAGGAGATTGTTGACAGTGACTAGAAAGTTAGAGCCTTGGTGCTCAGCTGTCAGTGAGCTCATGGTCTGAGGTTTGGGCACCAACAGAAGTAAGAAAGGGAAGGGAAGGGAAGGAAGCGGGGTGGGACGGCTGACTACACATTAGCTTTCTATTCCTTTCACACAATCTGGATTTTTCCTAAAGTGGCTTCCCATGCCTTCATGACTCTATTCAAAATGGAGGTTGGGAGAGGCTTTATTAGTTACTTTGTAGAAACCCAGGAATGACAGCTTGCAGTGGTTACTTGAACAATGGATTTCTTCTTGAGGATGGAGAGTCTCCCAGTGTTTGGGTGGGGGTGGGGGTGGGGGGAACAGGGGACAGGGGACGGACTTCTTGATGGTGTTTTTAGCCCTTGAGCTAAGTACAAAGGCTGTGGGCAACTAGGTTCACAGAGGTGTGCATTCAGGCACAGTTTGGGAGCACTGGTCTGTGGGGAAATGCCCTCACAGACATTTCCTGTTCCCCAGAAATCATGATGAACAAGACTATCTAGAGTTATCTGTGATTTCAAATGACAGTTTAATAAACATATTCAATATATGAAGAGAATGAAAAAGTCAAAGACAAAAATGAAATTGGCTATAAACATAATCCAATTGTTTTAACATAGTCATTCACTTACGGGTCAGAGTATTTCTTTAAAATAATGACACCTTTATACCAAAATAAATGGGCCCCTCCTCTCTTCTTTGATGATGGGAAACTCATCTCAACAGCACAGGATGAGACCCTGCAAACAGCAGCTGCTTTGTCTCTTCATTCAGTGCGTGGCCCTTGCAGATGTCACAGGGATTCCAAGTAGAGGAAGAAACTGAAGACTCCATCGGAGCTCTTGATCAAATCAGGGTTTTCTGGTATCTGAATGAAGGCTGGAGAGAGTACACTTACATTTTCAGTCTTAACAGTGGATTCCAGTGAGTGGGATTGATGATGAGGTTTCTGTTGGGAAGGATGACTTGGACCTATAAACAGGACCAGAGGTCAGTCCTTAGGTGCTTGGAAAGAGCATTGAACAAAGAGTATTGAGTCTCTGCTGCATGGAAGTTTTTGTTTAAGACAGTTAGAAAGACAGCAGGCTCACAACAGGTTGGTTGGTGGTGAGAACCAGGAGCCAGATGGTGCTCTCACACTGGCCAGGGCAGAGCTCGCTGCTAAATCACCCTGGAGCAGAGACCTGGTTTGCTGTCTGCTGCTGTGGTAACACTGACCACTACCACTGTTGAGGAAAGCCAAAGCAGGAGCTCAAGGCAGGAACCTGGATGGAGGAACCAAGCAGAGACCATAGAGGAGCGCTGCGTACTGACTGGCTGCTCCGTCCTCACCCTTTCTCATACAGCCCAGGCCTACCAGCATAAGGATGGTACAGCACAAAGGGGCAGGCCCTCCTACAGCATGTAATAATCAAGAAATGCCTCACAGACAGGGCCACAGGCCTGTGTGATAGAGGAAATTTTTCAATTGAAGTACTCACTTCCCAGATGATTCTAGTTTGTGTCAAGTTGGCAAAAACTAACCAGTGCATTCAATATAACACCTAAATTTAGTTTTATTGTATACATGTATCACATTTTCATTTTTAAGGATTTCTCAGACACTTCTGATTATTGCTGCAATCTGAAGATGAAACTGACAAGTGGAATAATGATCCTTTTAACCATTATATGCTTCTACTTTGCTGTGTATGTACTAAACCTCACAAATTAGTAGAAATAGTATCCTTCACTTGAGGGACAGTGGGACTACTTATAGAACAGTGTTGCCCAAGATGCCTTAATAACAGTTATTTTATGTAATGTAATCATGATAGTTTCTCTAATCATGTGATGGATGTGTTGATATAAATGTGGTAATGTAATTGTGGACAAATGATCATGTTTTCTTCTGCAACAAATTTTATATGTCTCTTTCTCTCTTCCCAAATCTGACAGATGTGGATGAATGCCAGGCTATCCCTGGGCTCTGTCAAGGAGGGAATTGCATTAATACTGTTGGATCTTTTGAGTGCAAATGCCCCGCTGGACACAAATTTAATGAAGTGTCACAAAAATGTGAAGGTGAGCAACCTCATGCTTTGCAGCTGAAGGGGAGGGGAGGAGGACAGACTAGGCGACAGCAACAAGCTTGTTTGAAAATAATTTCTGAGTCCTCTGCCTATGTCAGCCCGGTGGAAGTAAATGTGATGTTCCTACAGGAATAATATGCTTTTGTGCCACCGAACCAGAAAACCTGCAGCTTTTTCCACTTTGAAAGACAAAAAATAAGAGGTCCATCTGAATCAAATTAAATATTAAAACATGAAATATTTTTTAGGCTGATACTTGGTTTAAAATGTTCAAGACACATGGTTTTGTATAGTTCTAGAGGTTTGAATTTAAATTTGACTATTAGATAACGTTTAAAATTGTACCACTGATATTTTTCTGGTTAAAATGTCGAATTTGGGAAAGGGTGACCTGCAAACATACAAATTTATGTTCCTAGTAAGAGCTTAGGGTTTTCTTTACTGGGCCTTGGCATATGTCTAGCAAATGAAAACCTTTTTAATGTTCAGCAGACAGAAGTAACTTGAAGTAGAGTTTTACATTTACATTTAGCTTGCTGAATGAGATTCTAAAGTATGTATGGAGGACATGATCATACTTAGAACTACTGTGATTTGCAGAAAGGGTTTGGCTTCTAGAGGACGACAATTTCTTTCTCATGATGGAGGCATCCAGGAAATTCGTAGCTCTCTTTTCTTTGCTGAGTTTGGGATAGTGCAGGCAGTACCATCAGCCAGCACTGCAGCAGCCGTCTCAAAGCTGTGTCAGGTTCAGAGGAGAAAGCTTTACCTTCATGTTCAACCCATTCTGCCAGGTGTGGTCTGAGGTTTTATTTAGATGTCTGCATTTTTATTGAAAACAGTTGCTGTGTTATTTATATTCCTAGACTCTAGCAATGAAAGATAATTCACTCAAAGTAATTCCTCTGTCCTTGGAGTCTTAACCTCCTTGTGGACTTATTTCCCAGAATATCAAAAGATAGCTTCGCATATAAACTGTAGCCAGATATTTAATATTACTTGGGCAGAATGGGATAACCTAATTGTGGTAGAATTGCCTCCATGAGTTAGAGTTCGTTTTAAGTTATTAATTGACATAGCTCGTAGTTATTGTTGTATTCAAGAATATGCTACACACAGTTATTTTAGGTAGCTGTGGAAATCTTGTAGTTTCTTTCTGAAATCAGGCTTCTTAAAAACGTTTTAAATTCCAAAGAACAGTAAAATTGGTTCTCTCTGGGAAACTGTGTTTTAGAAACTGTAGATCTAAGTTTGAAGTACAAAGTGTTGGTTCCAAGGCAGGCAAAGACCTCACTCAGTTGCACCTTTTGCCTCTGTAAGTGAAGGGGCCACACAGCAGCTTCTCGTTGACTGTGGTGCTGAATTACAGCGTATTGTGCTGATTGATGTCTCTCCTAGATGAAAGCTATTACCTCTGCTCTATTTATTGCTCCCTGGAGGTCTTCAAAATATTATGGTATGGATATTCAGTTATTCCTGTGGGTATCTTCTGTGACAACTTACTGAGGCTCATTGCTTGCAGAATCCATGTCAACAATGCACTGTGCCTAGCATTTTTAATCTTTCTCAGCTTAATATATTCAGCTATGAGCAATATAATCAGCTTCGAGATTTAGGGCAATGGAGACCGTATGAGCTGTCCAGCCTGGATTTTTGTCTTCTGGAATCAGTTACTTCTAGCCTGAGGGAAAATTGACTTTCTGATTCTTACTTTTCACTTTGATAGTTAACAGTCAGGGCCAGTCTGTGGGTGTGGCCATACAGAAAATGCAGATATAATGGGACTCACATCCTTTTATTAATACTAACAAATCTATTTGCTGGTGTATCTAATGATTCAAAAATTCAACCTGAGATTACTTAATACTTTCAACAACAATGCAAAGAATATTTTCCCCGCTAGGTATCAGAGTCTATAGCAAGACAGAAACAAAATACTTTGTCTGAAGTTAACTTTTCCTCTGTCGTATGTTACATTAAAGTTAGATGGTGATTGACCCCTTTCTTATTTTTCTATGCAAGTTGATATCAGATAGGGTATTCTCCTGTTAGTACTGCATGTGCTTAGTCCTGGGGCTGGTTGGAGCATTGTTAGCCTGCCTGGAAGCAAAGCTATCAGAAAGTCCTCTCAGAATCCTCAGGAGCTGGAGTGCCTCTTTCAGTTTCAGCTTGGGCAGCTCACTAGGGAAATGGCACAGGCTCCCTTTTGTGATCAAGTGGCGGGGGGCAGCAGATTTGGCACACTACTGCGGAGAGGACACGCATCTAAAAAGAAAGAGATTGAGATGTATGGCTGTGATTTGAGAAAGGGGAAGCGGAGTTCACAGCCACTCTACTCGCTTTTCCAGTGGCCATGCACGAAAGAACAGGGAGCCTTCCTATGTGGAAACCAAGCCCATATTTGCATCAGTTGCTGTGGGAGGAGATGAAGAAATAAAAAGTGTAATTAAGGGATTAAGTTTTATTTCTGGAAGAAGCCCCTTGGACTCCTAATTAACCTTTAAATTTGGGGATTTAGATTATCTCCAGCCCAGCTTTAGCATCCCCATAAGAGCTCTGCAGGATGCAAAGGAGGTTTTTACCATGTGGCTCCTAAGTCCATATACTCCAAAAATCACAGGACTTCTCTGTCTAAAATACTGTCATGTGTATGTGCTGGCTGCTTGCTTTAGGGACTCTTCCCATCCTGGGCACCAAGGACAATTCCTGGGGCTGCTTAACCCACTGCCACAGGTGGCTTTCTGCTGCAACCCTTGCCTCCTCCTACTCAGCTTAGCCAGACCCTTGTACAGTTAGTGGAGCAGTGGTATGGCCTAAAGAGCCCTGTGAGGAAGGCCAGCCTGGCCCTCATCCTGGCAAAGTGTCCGTTCCACTATGGTCATAATTACATCAGTTACCAACTCCAAGTTACTTCAGTTTTCAAATGAAAAGACTGAACACGATGATGTGTGGAGGTCCTTTCTAGTTCCATAATCCAGACTCCACGTCTACACTCCTTCCTTCCTTCCCAGTTGTGGTCTCTATAACTGATGCTTTGTATGTAAGAAGCTTTGACGGCTGGCATCATGGTATGGCTAAACAGCACCAGCTATTTGTTTACCTTGCAATGGCATCTTTTGTACATGATTGAGTTTTTATAAAACAAAGTCAATTTCATAGACTCTACAGTGTTTAGTGTCACCTACTGCTTTTTAAACAGCTGCCAAATTTTTTAGTTTGTCGTTTTCCTCTCTTGGGTAGTAATTGAGACAGTCAGAATCGGGTAGTTGGTTTCTCTTGTCAATTCCACAGTCATGCACTGAGTTCTGGACAGCTGAGTGTCTGAGGATGACAGACTCCATTAGGTCTCTTTATCCAGAGGACCCCAGGGTAGAGGAGCTGCCTGGGGATGGGAAGAAAGTTGAGGCAGAGGGTGAAAAGAGACACCAGTGGGAGGGCAGCCGGCAGCTGGCATGGCTAGTGCAGCCATAAGGGTTAGCCCCTCACCAGCAGCCCTGCCTCTCCCTTCCTGCCTTCAGGAGACAGGGATTCATGTTGAGAGTGTAGAAACTGCTCTCTCTGGCCAGTCCCCGCTGTTCCCCGCCAGGCCTCCCAAACTGGTTTATTTTCACAATTGGCGTTTGACACAGACTGACTTACAGAAACTATGTTAAAAAGTACCATTCTCTGATTCTATGACTTGGGATCCCTGAAATTCTACTAAACAGAGATAAGCCTGGAGTTGTATGAGTCCTTGGAGATAATGCAGTAGGAGTGAGTTTCACGTGGCATTAACATTTATGGACCCTTTAGAAAGACACACCTTGTGATGCCTTTGCCTTACAGTTCTATCTTCCTCTGCCTTTAACTGAGGTTTTGAGTTTTGCAGGTTTGTTGATACACTTGTATTTTCTTAGTAGTGGGGCTGGGGGAGAACAGAAGGGTCCAGATTGAAGAGCTATGGTAGAGTGCCTTGGATACTATGCTGGCTCCAGAGCCTTGCACTGTGCCCAGGCCAGTTTCCCTGCCAGATGGAGTGGCTCTGCCCAAGAAGATGCACCTTTACCACTCACAGACTCTTGAGAGGCAGTGCTGTATACCCAGAGTTGACTCTGTAACTGCTGAAATCTGTTTGCTTTAGCCTCTAGCCTGGCATCAAAGAATGCTGATTTTTGATTTTCAAAAAGTTAAATCACATGTTAACAGCATCACTGATGACTTTTTGACTAACAGGGTCAACTTGAGTGAGAATATACTTGACTGTGGTCCACTTAGAACTGTGTTTTGTGTTTAATGGAGAGCAACACATGAACTAGAGAGGACTATTCTCACTTAGAGGCCCTGAGCCTGCCTGGATGGCAGCAGTGCCACCGCTGGGGCCACTGGGTGTTCTCAGGAGGCTTGGGAAAATCCTGCCTCTCCCCGCACAGTGAAGACAGCCTTCCTTGTTTGTCTTAAAGCGTTTGGGAAGCTCTCCATTTCTTCTCTCCACTTCTGCTTGCCACTGTTGATACTGCCTTGACATTTAAAAAGCTCCTCTGAGGAAATGGCCAGATTTGTTTGAGAGGACATGTATCCCTTCCTTGGAGGAGACCAGTGGCTTTGAGCCCTGGAGGCTGACCCCCACCTTTGACTTCTGTAGCTTTCCGGATGCTAATTAGGGGATGTCATTAGGATCAATGTCTAAGGAAGATGAGACCAGAATGTGCAGACAGAGGTGAGCTGTAGTGTATCCCAGAGGCAGCCTCAACTGACTGCAGAGTGGAATCAAGTCACCTTTACAGGTGTCCCTTGATGAATTGGGATGACCAGAATTTTGCCCATCTTCCATGATTTCCTATTAGATGTGGGGTACCAGGGGAGGGTGTGACCTCAGGCAAGGCAGCTTTACGAAGCTCAAGAATCCCTAATAGGACCAAGGAGCAAAGGCAGGCTTTGGACAGCACCCCAATTTCAGGGCCAGTAAGTCCTTCCCTGAAGGGAAATCTGAGTGGAGCCCCCAGAGTCAACCGGAGTCCACACACCAAATAATTGCATTTCCCCAAACCTGCAGACAGCTATCATCACAGAATTTCGATGTGCCGCTGAGAACGAAGTCAGTACTTGCTTTCTGGCCACCCAGCGTCACCAACTCTTGGTCAGTGTTCAGACCACAGGGTCTTCTCTGAAGGATCTCAGTATCTGCTCTGGAAAAAATCTGGTTGAAGAGAAATAAGAAAGTAATGCAGAATATAGAATAATTAGTAGAGCAGTTTAATTTCGTCTAAAACGGAAAGGAATCGCTTTCAAACTAAAGGGCTTTTGGGATGCTGGCATGCTGCTTCCTGGTAGCTTACGTTCTAAACGGGATGACTTTATTGTTCTCCATCACTTGATTTAGTGAAGCTCTGGAAACGTGTGCTATGAGCAGACTCTTTTCTGGGAGGCGTTTAGTCTATGAGATGGCCGCTTCTAGGGACATGAGTTCTGAGTGCTGCATCCGAATCCTTGTGATGACACCTCATACTGTGTGTTACGGATAATGAAACTCGCCTTTCTGTTTCAGATATTGATGAATGCAGCACCATTCCAGGAATCTGCGATGGGGGCGAATGTACAAACACGGTCAGCAGTTATTTCTGCAAATGTCCTCCTGGGTTTTACACATCTCCTGATGGCACCAGATGTGTTGGTAAGTTTAATTACACATGGCAGTCATGGTTTTATAAATAATTTTCATAATGAACATCTCTCTGAGCAAGTTGGTTAAGGGGACCATATCCCAGTTGATATATGTGCACTTAGAGAAATGCATTTTGCAGTTGAGTGCCCTGTTAAATAGCAGAGACCGCGTATGTTTTTGTCCTGATGGAAAATCTGTGTCCAATGGAATTGGGTGTCTTAGCCCTTGGAACTGGGGTTACAGCCAGTAACTTAGGGCCATCTCTTACCACAATTCATAATGAGCCCCAGAACAACCACCTTGCCTTTGCCCTGAACTGCTCAGAAGGAAGTAGAGAGCCCCAGGAGGGTCTGCTCCTCCAAACGGTCTCTAACTTCCAGTCTTCTCCTTTCTTCTCTTAGTAGCTTCTATGTTTTCTTTAAAACTTGAAATCTGATTAATATGCACGTTTTAGACAAGTTTCTCCTTCAATAAAAATGAACAACAACAATAAAAACCAACAACCAAACAAACAAAAGGCATAAAAGAAAAAGAAACCAGTGAATGATTATCGCTCCTGAAAGTGCCATGTGTAAATCGAGGGCTGCCTGTAACCCAAAAGCAGCTTGTGATTTCAGCCCCAACATTCTCTGTTTTACCATGCTGATCAAGAGTCTCTGACTCATTGATTTAACAAATTAGCCAACCAGATCTGTAACAACATGGTATCACAGTTGATTTGCAAAATAATAGTCATTAGCCCATTAAGAGTTTACCATTGGCAGCTGTAGGTCTCAGCTCTGCTCTGAAGGATAACCCATCCATCTGAAAATTATATGTACACATTTCATAATTTGGTCAAGTGTTTACACTGCGCTTTGACCACCAACTCCATTTGAAGCTGGGATACAAGCCAGGTTTGAGGATCTTTCCCCATTCCTAATAGCCTTTGGTTTCCAAAATATTTACTAAATGAGTAAGTAAAATATTAATAGCTTTAAGGCATTGCAAGTTAGCATGTAGGAACTCCTATTTCTTTACCCTGTTCTTGAAGGAGGCACCCCACCATGGGCTTTCCTAGAGCAGATTTTTCTGCACCACCCCCTTAGCCATCTATTCTGGATCATGCTAGAATAAAACTAGCTCTCTCCTTTGCTGAGACTATTAATCTGCCCAGAGGTACAGGAACCAGAACCAAAATTTTCTAGGAAGTGCTTTATACTTGCTGGTGGTTTGTAAGTACTGTTCAGAAGAGATCTTGTATCCATGAGGCTGACCCTTAATTTTCTTCTATTGTTTGTCTAGGTTTGATTTATTCTTCTTTGCTTAAAGTAAATAATAAACATTCCTAAATTATACTTGTTTGTAATCCTAGCACTTGGGAGGCACAGGCAGGCGGATCTTTGTGCGTTCGAGGCCAGCCTGGTCTACATAGTAAGTTCCAGGACACCTGGGGCTACAAGGAGACCCTGTCTCCAAAAGACAAAAAAAAATTATACTTGTTTATCATATGTATTTTATTAATTTATTAAGCCATCAATATTGAAGACTTTTGGTTCTTAAGAATAATTCAGACAATAATAAGCATAAGTAGAGGTGTGGCCCTCTGTGAGAAAACTTGATGTTTAATATTTAGATGTAGCACATAGGGATGGGGTTTTAACTATAAAAATGTCCTCACTTTACAGAAGGAATTATTGCTTATATTACTTTAAACCAGAAGCATAGTTAAAATACTATTCACTTTTCAAAACTTTATTGTGTACAGACTGTTCAGAGATGTATTTTACTTGAAGAGAAATACACCTTCAACATGTGTAGATAGAGAAAGGTATTTACAATTTGACTCCTTTCTCCTCTTTTTACCCAAGCGTCTCAAGGGCTTCTCTCATGCCAGGAGCCCCTTTTGGTAGCTCAGAGTTGTACAAGAGTGTGTCAGCTGTTGTTATGACAATCAGACATGATGTAACGCAATAGAAGTGACCTATAGAAATGTGTTTCACCATGTTGCTTTCAGAAGATGCTTTTTTGCCAAAAAGAAAAAAAAATCATCTAGAATTGTTACATTCTATTAGACTCAGAATTTACAGGCATTGATGTTTTGAATTTATAAACAGAGCCTTGTAAAAATTCGTTAGGGCCCCAAGACAAGAGGGAACCTGATTAATAAGAATTGGATCTGGCTGGAAAGTGTCATTCCTTTAAAATACAACTTCATATGTCTGAAATCACAACTTCAGAAAGATCTTTAGAAATACTGACCATGCCACAGATTAGTGTTGTGTTTAAATACATGTGCATAAACTGTTGCCTAACATGTCTCAGATTAAGTGGTTTGAAAAGAGGACTCTCCTTGAGAAACAAGCCAGGCTCTCTTTAGTATAGAGATGCATCTTAATAAATAATAACTGAGCACTGGTGCTTTTCAGTCTCCTTTCCTATGGCACATATGATTTTAATCATTCCTTCCCACCGTGGGTATGCAATGTGGGATTTTGGCCAAGTGCACCAGCATGCAGGGCAAAAGTATAAGACAAGACATTTCTGACTTGAGTTTTGGGCCAGTAAAGTGCTCACAACTTGCCTTTCAGTGCATACACTCTTGAATAAGTCCTACCGTAGCCCCAGGGCGAGGCATGGAGGTGCTGAGGCAGAGGAGCGCAGCCCCAAGCTTCATCATGATGACCGTGCTTCTTTGTCTTCTCAGATGTCCGCCCTGGATACTGCTACACGGCTCTGACAAACGGGCACTGCTCTAACCAGCTGCCACAATCCATAACCAAAATGCAGTGCTGCTGTGATGTCGGCCGGTGCTGGTCTCCAGGAGTCGCTGTCGCTCCTGAGATGTGTCCCATCAGAGCAACGGGTAAGAGCCCTGTGCTGGATAGCTTTAGTGTCAACTTGACATACCTGGGTTGAGGGAGCCTCAGTTGGGGAATTGACTCCATTGGACTGGCCTATGGCCATGTCTGTAGGGTATTTTCTTGATTGTTGAGTGATGTGGGTGGTGCCACCCCTGGGCAGGTGGGCCTGTGTTGGATAAGAGAGCAAGCTGAGCAGGGGCCAGGGGAGCAAGCCAGTAAGCAGCATTCCTCCATGGCCTGTGCTCCAGCTCCTGCCTCCAGCTTCCTGCCCTGAGTTCCTACCTTGGGCTCCCTGATGAACTGTGACCTGGGAGATGTAAGACAAATAAACCTTTTCCTCCCTAAGTTGGTATTGGTCAGAGTATTTTGTCACAGCAATGAAGAACAAACTAGAACAAGCCCTCAACAGCGTATCTCAACCCAACCCTTCCAAGCCAATGTCAGTGTGTGTATGATGCCGAACCAAGGAAAATCCAGGTAAATAAATAAGATTCCAGCAAATCAAAGAGGTGATGTTGAGAAAATTCCCCTGATGATGTGTGAGGAAAGGCACATCTCCAGATGTGCTGGGGATGCAGCTTCCTCCTTATGGTGGACAGCAGCCTCCTCAGGAAGTTCTTATTTTCTCTATTCTCAGTGAAGGACTCTCATGTGATGCTTCACCAGCTCAGGAGCGAAAACTCAAGTCCCCTAGAACGTGGATTTCTTTCTCGCTAACATTCAGTGGTTTCCTCTTCCCTTTGCCAAATCCTGCTGATTTTTGGTTTCGTTCATGGTTTCTTATCTGTCCATCATGTTCCTTTCCTTTTCACTAAAACCTTATCACTCTGCAACCAGAATGATTGTGGTGTCCTTCCAGCTGGCCTATGGGAGAACCTCAGCTGCTGTGTACTTCAAGTTATACCCGGTATTCACTTTAAAAGTTATCCCTGCAAAAGATATAAAGACAGACTTCCAGAAAAACTTCCTTAGGATGACCACAGACAATGTTTGATGGTCCAGATCACACCTTTTCCTGCAAAGAAAAATTTATTACTTGGCGTAGCATTTAAATGGAGTCCCTAAATCTAAACCCAGTTCATCTTTTAGTCATTGACATTATAGGAACTTTATTTTTAATTAAATGGTTATTGTTAGCATCCTAAACTCCATCCAAAAGTTCTTTTGTCCTATAACGTCTGCACAGTTCAGGCCTTCCTCTCTCACAGTCCTTGCTTGTGCATTAAGGATCTGCTGAAACTCGGCCTAATCCGTGACTATCCCAAGGTAGCCACAGCTCCCATGCGGCCCGGCAGTTTCTGGTCACACTCCTGCTATGGCACAGAGCCTACACTGTTCTGCTTTGTGCCTACTTGTGTCCATGGATTGCTTTTTCACCAGTTAGTACATTTCATTAAGGAGCCTCATTTATCACATATTTCTCACACTTTTTATACTTGCATAATATTTCACAAAATCTTGCTTATAAGAGGCACTCAGGTAGAATGAATGGCTTATTAAGTACCATTTTCTCCTCTAGTTCCAGCTAAAAGCTGAGCTTTCTAGCTCCATTTAATTTGATTCCTGAAAGGCATGTTTCAATCAGGGAATTTAGGAGAAGCAATGAAAGTGAGGGTGGAGAAATGCAGCATTGACTTAGGATTATTGAGCCTGTTCTTCATGTGATGTGCGGTTCTCATCATGAGTTACAGAGCAGCTCATGGATGTTACCAGAAAGTGTGTGTTTATTGCTGACAATTGTATGCACTGATTAAAGAAGGAATAAAATTTCTCTCTCTACTGTTCTTTAAGGACAGTTCTGCATACATATCTATGTATCTATGATCGAACAAGTCATAGATTTTGGAGATCTGCTATCTATGCCCTAAAATGTACCCTATTCACTAGATCACTTTTTAGAAGCACGTGACTCCCTACTAAGACACATGGCTTGGGTACCAGAAGAATTGCTTCTTAAACACATATGTCAATTTGGACATCAGTAGCATTCGTATGGATTCCCTGTGTTGAGCTCTTGACTGGAGGAGGGAAGACAAGAACAGGTGCAGAAGACAGAAAAAAAAATCATCTCCAGGTTAGATTGAAACAGAAAAAGTAAAGATCAGTTGAGCAAAATTAGCCCTTGGTAGCCAATCCTGAACATAAAGATGCTCATAGATAAAACCATTAATCTGTAGAAAGTAGGAGGGAGTTTAGGACCCAGTGTGAAATGCTCCTGTGGGGGAAAAAGAATTTAATGGTGTTCTTACTTAAATAATATGCTCACTTAATTAGTAGAAATGCTGATAAGCCATCCAACTCCTTTCATACAAATCTTAAATGAATTTTAAAACAAGGCTGAACAATTGCTTACAATGAAGTGTTTCCTTTAATATAGTCACAATTCAATTAAATCCAGTACATAATGAAATCCTCTTATGTATGGTTTACAGGGCCATGCTGACAGTAAGAATTAGCCATGGCTCATATATGGTCCAGATCTGAAGCACTACACAGTCTGACAGGTAGAAATTATGCAGAGCTGTCCTTGAGGAACAGTGGAGATGGTTTGTCTAGATGACGGCACTATAGGAAGAGTCACTGTGGTTTGATAAGAGAGATTGTGGCATCCCAAGTTAGGGAAACGTAAACAATACAAAGTCTTTTCCAAATCCAGTATAGTACTACAGAATCTGTGGGTTGAAAGTCCGGAAGAATAGTGGACAGTGATGGAATTCTCTGACAGCTTAACCTTGATCTGAGTTGAAGTATGATTGAAGAGCTTTTAGAAATGAACCAGCTAGTACTGGCAGAGTGCGTGGAGGTAGGCATATATTTTTTTTAACTTTTACAAAAACTTTATTGAGAATTTCATACATGCATATAAGGTGTTTTGATCAAATCCATGTCCATTCCCTTCCTTCCAACACCTCCCATATCTCCCCAACACTTTTTTCATTTTCTTTTCTTTCTTTTTCTTCATTTATTGATTTATTTTTTTAACTTTTTTTATAATTAGAAGAAGCATTTCATTACAACAGCATTAACCTATTCAATAACATTTTTCTGAGCTAGGGTACATCTCTTTCAAAATTGGCTGTACATTTTTAGGTTTACAGAGGAATTATTACGCTTGTACAATCTTTTACTGATTATAAACTCTACAAGACATAAAATTAAATGAGGTTTTAATGTTTAGAAAAGATCTCCACTTCGTTGTTAAAATACAGTTTCATACAGAAAAATTCATTTTAAGGCAACTGACATTGAGACGTTTTCACATGCATTTCTAATCTCTATATATATGACTATTACTGGTCACAGTCACTTACTTTCTGAGTTCCGTGGCATCTGAGTATGAATATAAACTCGTCAGATAAACAGCCTTCTTCTCCCTCTAGAGCCTCCATACTCTGTCATCCCTGCCAATGTCCACTGTGTTGTCAGGACCCCCATCTATTGCCCCCATCTGTCCTTCTGATAAATCTAGTCAGCCAGAGGTCCCTGTTCCAGGAGGATCAGCTGTTCCTCATCTACAGCAATCCATTGTCAGTATTCCTTTGGATAGAATTGGGG